GAGGGTAGGAGGGATCGGGAGATCGACAGGCGGATTGGTTCGGCGTCTGCAGTGATGCGGACGCTGAGCCGATCTGTCGTGGGGAAGAGGGAGCTGAGCCAGAAAGCCAGGCTCTCGATTTACCGGTCGATCTACGTCCCAATCCTCACCTATGGTCATGAGCTTTGGGTAATGACCGAAAGAACGAGATCGCGGATACAAGCGGCCGAAATGAGTTTCCTCCGTAGGGTGGCCGGGCTCAGCCTTAGAGATAGGGTGAGGAGCTCGGACATTCGGGAGGGACTCGGAGTAGAACCGCTGCTCCTCCGGATCGAAAGGAGCCAGTTGAGGTGGTTTGGGCATCTGGTCAGGATGCCTCCTGGACGCCTCCCCGGGGAGGTGTTTCGGGCATGTCCTGCCGGCAGAAGGCCCCCGGGTCGACCCAGGACACGTTGGAGAGGTTACATCTCCAATCTGGCCCGGGAACGCCTTGGGGTCCTGCCGGAGGAGCTGGTGGACAAGGCCGGGGAGAGGACGGCCTGGAGCTCCCTAGTTGGGATGCTGCCCCCGCGACCCGGACCCGGATAAGCGGAGGAAGACGAGACGAGACGAGACGAGACGAGATTTACAAATAAATTCTTTAGAAATCCTGCCATGTGAATTCATGGATTTTTTTTCACATTCTGTCTCTCACAGTTGAAGTGTACCTATGATGAAAATTACTGACCTCTGTCATCATTTTAAGTGGGAAAACTTGCACAATCGGAGGCCAGTGTTTCCCCTAGGAATTTTTCCAGCTGTGGTGGTGTTGTTGGCCGGGGGGGGGGGGGGGGGGGGGGTTATGACACGTCTCACCTTTATGTTAATATTGTTTTATTTGATGCACTCCACTTTGAACTGCACCAATCCAGCGACTGCTGCATTGTAATAACTAGTATTAAAGGTGAGTACACCAATATTTGCACAATAATAATTTCTGTTTTAAACTCTCAGTGACACACTTTGCAGGGGGGATTTGGCATTTAATTTTTCTTGGCGTCTGGAAAAACATCGTCTTTTGCCCCCTTTATTTGACTCTCTGCCCCCTTTATTTTGGTCCAAGATCACTACTGGGCTGGCCCTATTAAACATGTTCTACACCCCTGCTTAGTAGACTTAATGAAGTATTTTTAAGCCAGTATAAAAATGACTGAAACACAAATTTACATATTTGGCATTATTGACCAATATCTTTGATTTAATTTATTTGTTAAGAACATCAAGATGCATTACAGTGAACATTATAATAAGCTGGGCAGACACTGTGCGGCTTTTTCACTCGTAACACAGCTTCAGCTCAAACTGAACGACTTCAGCGCAGGGCAGATCTCACGAGTCATGTGCTCACTGTACGTCTGGTAGCAACACGTCAGACCTAAAATATGCTAAAAATATCAGTTTTTACACAACACGTCAGACTTTTTTGTCTTGTTTTGCCTGTTGTCCTTCGGGAGTGCTGCAGGAGGACACACGGGGATTTATGGGGGTTGGATGAGGAAACGAAATAAAGAAAGTAAATCTGTGTTTTGTGATCAGTTTAATTTGACATGAACACGACAAACACGCTTTCTTGACAATCTTTGTGAGTAAAAAAACGTGTAGAAACAAAAACGAACAGCGTGTGTTATTAGGGAAATAGCGGGTGAGCGGAGTTGATGCAAGATGGCGAATGCGCCGTGAGCGGTTCTGATACTTTTTGGGTCGCAGCTGCTCGCTGCGCCGCTTCAACCCTCATGAGGAACGAGATAAATATTAAACACTCCGGAAGTCCGTGCGAGCTCACGATTGCTGATCGGTAGCTGGTCACGTGGTGTTAATCGCCTCTCGTAACCCCCTGTACACTACACGACGCTCAACGCTAAACTCGCCCCGATCTTGTGGATTCTCGCATGAGTGGAAAATCTGCTCAAAAAAGTGAAAAAGTCACACAGTGTCCGCCCGGCTTTACTGTCTGTGTGTGTGCGTTGATGCCTGGACCGAGCTGACGGAGCTCCCAGCTGCAGTTTTGTGTGTAGGGAGGGGCGGGCGCTCTATCTGACTGGCCAATCACAGAGCGTGAAGACAGTCAGTTACCCAATGAGGATTTCACTCAGCACGATTACAGATATTTTCGAGTTTTACACTCGTTTCTTGCTCGTATTCGTCAAAAATGCTTTATCCGTACGCTCATAGCTGTAACCACCCTGCCCTGCCTCCTCCTCCTTGCTACCTGCCGGCTGTGATCACAAGCAACAACACAGTAGTTCCCGCTGCTTCTTCGGAAAACCGCGCAACAAAAAAAAAAAAACCATCAATAAAACTTGGGATGTTGTAGGCGTGGCGGTGGGATTTCAGCCGTGGCGGCCCGCCACGGCTACGCCTATGTAAGGGAAACCCTGGGTGGCTGACTAAATACTTTTTTGCCCCACTGTATTATTTAGTCTGGCCACGCTCCATTGACAGCTCTCGGTTGTGGGGCGGGTTCTACCGTTGTCTTTCAAATGATCTCCGCATTCCACTGGACAATGAATGTGACATCCTCTTGTTTCACTCTGTTGCATCATCCCACCCACCAGGCATATAGAGTGCCCTGATTGGTCCACAAAGCGGATAAAGCTCTGTGATTTGTTCACTAAGCAGATAGAGCACTATGATTGGCCCACCATTATGGACCAATCACAGCTCTTTATGTGTTTGAAACCCCTCTAGAGAGCTGTGATTGGCTAGCCAGAGTCCTGGTAGGAGCTGCGGAGGTTCCAACGGAGCGTGCCTAGACCAAACTTTGCAAAGCAAGAATTTGGTCTAGTTCACTAGGCTAGCCCAATTCCAAATAGTCCAAAACTGATGTAAAAGCCGTTTCAAACGAGCTGTCGCCATCTTGTTCCACTCTGTTGCATCATCCCGCCCACCAGACAAATAGAGGGCCCTGAATGGCCCACAAAGTGGATAAAGCGCTGTGATTGGTTCTCAAAGTAGATAGAGATGATTGGCCCACCATTATGGACCAATCACAGCTCTCTATGTGTTTGAAACCCATCTAGAGAGCTGTGATTGGTCCATAATAAGGGCTGCAGAGGTTCCAATGGAGCGTTCCTCGACCAAGTCTTGCAAGGCAAGAATTTGGTCTTGTTCACTAGACTAGCACACTTGCACATTATTCATGGCTAATCAGCCCCTTGATATGCCACACCTGTGAGGTGGGATGGATTATCTTGGCAAAGGAAAAGAGCTCACTAACACACATGTAGACACATTTCAGAACAATATTTGAGAGTCATGGGTGTTTTGTCTATGTAGAAAAAGTTTCAGATGTTTGAGTTCAGATCATGAAAATGGGAGCAAAAACAAAAGTGTTGTGTTTATATTTTTGTACAGTGTAATAAAGAAGCTTCACGTTTTGAATGAAATAATTGAAATGAATAGGAGACAATGACAAATTGTTAGGATGCCTCCTGGACACCTCCCTGGTGAGGTTTTCCAAGCACGTCCAACTGGGAGAAGACATAAAGAAAGACCCAGAACATGTTTGAGGGACTATGTCTCACAGGTGGCCAGGGAACGCATTGGGATTCCTCCAGAGGAGCAGGCCCAAGTGGCTGTGGAGAGAGAAGTCTGCCCCTGCGACCAGACTCCAGATAAGCAGACGAAAATGGATGGAGGGATGGGCCTAAAATAATTAGATTAAATTAAAGCAGACAGCGGCTACAACCCAATATTGCCTGTTGAAGGGAGTTGAAAACAATTATTTATGCGTAAAATGTTTGGGTTCATCCACAAGAAGGGAAAACATTTTTCCAGGACAACTTAAAACGTTTCCAGGACATTTTACTTTTTCCCCATTTTCCATGTGTTTTCCATGACTGGAAAATTGGTCCATCATTTTTCAGTTTTTCCAGAATGCGTGGGAACCCCATTTATAGTCTGCAGGACTAGAACATGATGCAGCCAGCATTACGTCTGCAGTGTTTTGTGTTTTCATGAGCAGAAACAGGCCAAGTTTTCAACAACCTTCACGTGTTAAAGTTTTATAACTTTTGCATTTTTCCAATGCTCTTATTATTAAAGGATTTTAAAGGAAGTAGTTTAACCTTATTAAGGTGAAACCAAGGGGTCACCCTGCAAAATCCAGACCTGCTCCCAACCACGCCACGATAATCCTGAGATGAGCATGAAGCCAACATGGAAGTGGCTAAAACTGCAGTTCCCCCCTCATCCTCATCCACCAATGTGCCTCTCCCATTGACAGCAACAGTCATGTAATCAGAGATCCATGAATCTGCCGCTTCATCCTTGCACAGGAAGCCCAGCAAGGCCTCTGTTAGCTTGAGTTAGCATGTAGGTCCCGCTGAGCTCCAACCAAGGAGAAGCGTGATCTCACTTAAGTGGCACCTGGCTCCGATCGCAGCAGTCTGAGGCTCTGCTTGTATTTTAACAGCCCATATTATAACTCCACAAGCGACCAACATGACTACAGCCTTGCACGGAAGCCAAAGCCCGTTCTTAGCTTCTTGGGTTAGCTAAGTTAGCTAGTAGCTACATTGGTTCATTTGTTACAACTGTAACAGCCCCACCCTCAATTCCACCTCTCTTCCCATTTTTGGATTGTCTGGGCGTGACGAGACGTGTGACACTATCATAATAGCGGTGGTGGGAACCTCCCACTTTCTATTAAAAACAAATTATTTGAGTCTATGGACACACACACACACACACACACACACACACACACACACACATATATGTAAACATATGTTGATGGGTGGGTGAAACTGATACTGTCAGGGTGATAAAAACTGTAGTGAACCCTTTAATTTAATAGCTTCATGTTTGTATTCTACTAGTTTATTTCAAATGTATCCAAGCTCATATTCTCTAGTTACATCGGCAAAAGGAATCAAACCAGAAACCCCACTAAAACTGATATCATGTCATTTCAAGCACAACAGCAATTTAAAACAGTTAGCCAACTGCTTAGACTGATATAGAAACTTGTTGGTACTTACCATTTTCTGGCTGTGTCTTTTTAAGTGAATCCATCAAAGTGCTAACAGCCTTCAAGACAAAGATAATCTCCGTCACTTGTTGCCTAAAATGAAAAGAAATAAAATGAATAAAACAGCTTCAACTGGGTGACATTTCCAAAGATAAACCACCTGGAATAAATTTGTGACAAATTTAAAAAAGCAGGAAATGCACAAAGAAAGTAAAGCGGATTGTTAGCATGTCTTTTTTGTGAGACTAAACCCCCCCCCCCAAAAACAACTATATTTGTATAAATCAAATCAAAACAAGGCCTTTCAAGGCTAAAACCTTTTGTTAGATCACAACATTTGCCATTTGAACACGTTCAGATCTTCTGGGTGCTCACAGCTGTGAAAGCACAATTATTAATCGAAAACGTTCTTAATTTGTCTGAAGATTTTCAACCAACCTACAAATCTATGAAATTTTGCATAATCATCAATCTCCCTGAACTCACCACCTCCTATTGCCATTTTCGGTTTAGTGTCACCGTTAGGCATCATTAACTGTAAGTCTTCCACACATGACAGCAGAATTAGACAGCTAACCCCCAGCGTGTGGTTTTAGCTAAGGTGTTAGAGATGAAGCAAGGACAGAGTGTTGGATTGCCTCACGCTCATACCTCGGTAAAGGGCAGCGCCCGCTCAACCGCTCATCCTCTACGTAGCGTCTGAGAACATCTTGAGATCTCTTGAGGAGTACAGAGAGCGCCATTCGAGAGATGTAGCCCTCCTGGGGAGTAGACACCTTGTTGCTAAAAGAAAACTGTAGCAACGTCTCAAAACAAACCTTGGAAAAATCCTCCCGCATCCTCACATCGATCTCTGCCTCTGGGGAGAGAAAGAAGGACGGTGAGGATCTATCTGAAATGATTCCTACAGCTTTACCACTGAAGTGGTTCTATAACCGGGTGTTTCAGTGCAGCTAAAATCCAAGAGTTGGTGCTACTGCAGCTGACTTGATATCAAACCAGAAACACCTGGAGCTGAGTGAGGACTAGCTCAAACTCCCACTGAAACCACTTTGGTGGAAACACGTCCAATTAGAACAGACAGACCAACAAATTGAACAGGAGGTCTTAATTACAGCAGACAACAGGAAGGTTTCATCTTTGATCCGTTTGCTCGGTGGCCACAGCAAAACTCAAAAACGATCAATGGTTGTTTACTTTAGCAGAAACAGTCCTATTATACCTGTGAACGAGGGCGCCTGGGAGTGAATGGAACCCCTGTTGAGCATGGTCATGATCTGGGCCACAAAGTCTTTGGGGATGAAATTGGCAAACGGTAAAATCTCGGTGCTGATCAACTGGACCACCTAAAATGAAGAAGACATACCGATGAAGCTCTAAAAATCCTTCCCAATTTAATGATCAAACCGGATGATTACCTCAACATCAATGGCTTCATTCTTCTGAAACTCCTGGATGGACACGTTATCAGGGGGAGTGCTGCGAGATGAAAACAACCAGCATTAAAAAAACTATATATATATATATATATATATATATATATATATATATATATATATATATATACTCAAACTATTTTAAAGCAATAGTGGGGATATGGGATGTGTTACCTTTTAGTGAATAGAAAGTCTTCAAAGGCATTGACCAACTCAGGCCACATAGTGTCAAACTTCCCAGACGAGGAATGCTGGCGTGCGACCGGCAGCCCGATGGACAGAACCTTCAGCAGCGATGCCACCGCCAGCTTCCAGGTGCTCTCTGAGGGACAGGCATACTTCAGACCCAGGGGCGTCTTCAGTGTCTGGAGGAAGAAACAACCTCAAGATTAATTATTTAAACTGACACAGATTCATAACGATTTGGCCCACTCCTCCACATGGTCTCATCTGACCACGACTTTCTCCCATGTCTCCTCTCGATCATCCAGATGGTCGTTGGCAAACTTCAGACGGGCCTGGACATGTGATGACTTGAGACTAGGGCTGAAACGAATCTTCGAATGATCCAAATGGTTGGATCGCAACCAGGGACATAAGCTGCTATGAGACAGGAGGTTTTGATTGCACAAATGTAGCAGTGTCTGCGTCAGATTTAGCAGAGGAAGGGAGCATGTTCCTCCCTGTCTGTTTATATATGACATTGCAGTTGCGTGGTCTGTGCGTACTGGCACATGCTGGGCTCAGGTAACGACTGAAAAGTCTCAGGGCCAGAAACGTTGGTCTAGATAGTTTGTACGGAACCCTAACTGGGTCGGGGACCATATGTCCCTTACTGCCATCAGCTCACACAGAGAACCCCAACCTTTCAGGAGAGCGTCTGTGGTCACCACCACATGCTCTGATACCCTCCCAATTGGAGAATCCTGGTGCAGCAACCTGGTTCTCTCCATGGGAGATGAGCCACTATGCAGGCCCTGGGGATGGTCAACTTCTGGTGAAGATGACGCGAGGAAACAAAACGGTGAGAGCGTAACCAATGCTGGAAATGCCACACCCCACCTTGAGAGGCTCCATGGCTATAGTAAAAGTCATCGTGCCCAACAGCACTAAAGCTGTGAGGAGTGTTATTTTGGCCCCCGGTTGAAAGTTGGTCATGTAGTTGCAAAACGCGACTATCCGGTGATCCGAGAGACGCACTCTGGACGACCGAGAGCATATTTCTAGTCCGAGGAAGGAAACCCTCTTGTTGGAACTAGGGAGCTCTTCTTGTAATTTACATGGAAAACCCAGGACTCAAACATGAGAAAGAACCTGGGAAACGTGCATGCCCGCTACCAGAGCCGAATCATCACAGTAGGCGAGAACGTTGATGCTTTGAACAGCAACCGAACATGGCCATTTCACCAGCTGAAAAAACTGAGGCTTTGAAATCCAGTAGGTCCAAGTCCTGAACAAACTCGGTCCTGAGATCAGGATGATTGTGTCTTCTATTTATGTTTCACAGAGCATTCCTGTGAGCCCGCAGGAGGGCCTTTACACCAGACAAACTGGCTGGGAGGTAAGGGCTCACCACCACCATCTGAGGCGAAATTGTGGCTTTTTTAATCGTTCCAAGAATCTTGGTTCTCGCATCTCATTGAGGAGGGTGAGCGAGCCGCTGAGTGGGACCAGTGCTCCAAGATCTGCCGTACACATTGCTAAGCAAGTCCGCAACATGGTGGCAGAGCTGAGTGTGAGGGCAGACGTTACTTGGTCGTCGTCATCTTCCTCCGCTTATCCGGGTCCGGGTCGCGGGGGCAGCATCCCAACTAGGGAGCTCCAGACCGTCCTCTCCCCAGCCTCCTCCACCATTTCCTCCGGCAGGACCCCAAGGTGTTCCCGGACCAGATTGGAGATGTAACCTCTCCAACGTGTCCTGAGTCGACCCGGGGGCCTCCTGTCAGCAGGACATGCCCGAAACACCTCCCCAGGGAGGCATCCAGGAGGCATCCTGACCAGATGCCCAAACCACCTCAACTGACTCCTTTCGATCCGGAGGAGCAGTGGTTCTACTCCAAGTCCCTCCCGAATGTCCAAGCTCCTCACCCTATCTCTAAAGGTTGGTTTATGCTTGACGCGTCCGCGAGGTCCACACGGCTCCGCGCGGAAAAGTTGCGTCATTTTAACAACCACGCCCCTCCACCGCGTCTCCGCACGGCCCAAGATTTCCGCAACGCGCACCTCGGAAAATTTCTAAACACGCGGACGGACGTGGAAAAACATGGCGGACCGGCAAGAACTAGTATGGCAGAGGTTCGTAAATACAGACATTTGTATGATTCAGCTCTCAGAGATCACCGTGATCAACATGTTGTTAATAATTCTTGGAGAGAAATAGCTCGCACTGTCGGAAGACTAGGACGCTGTTAAAAATGCTGAAATGCCATGTTGTAAACAGTAATTTCTACTTCTACTATGGTGTAGTGTTGGATGCATGCCGTAGAGCTCCATGCTGCCCCGTTCAGTTGGGGAGAATATTGGCTCACCGCAGAGACGAGTCGCACAAACCATAAACGCTGCCAGTTGTGAAGCGCGTTCCATCCGCGAGCCGCATCACAGCGCGGAAAGTGAATGCGTCAAGCATAAACCAAGCTTAAGGCTGAGCCCGGCCACCCTATGGAGGAAACTCATTTCGGCCGCTTGTATTCACAATCTCGTTCTTTCGGTCATTACCCAATGCTCATGACCAAAGGTGAGGATTAGGACGTAGATCGACCGGTAAATCGAGAGCCTGGCTTTCTGGCTCAGCTCCCTCTTCACCACGACAGATCGGCTCAGTGGCCGCATCACTGCAGATGCTGAACCAATCCGCCTGTCAATCTCCCGATCCCTCCTACCCTCACACGTGAACAAGACCCCAAGATACTTAAATTCCTTCCACTTGAGGTAGGACCTCTCTTCCGACCCGGAGTTGGCAAGCCACCCTTTCCCGGTCGAGAACCATGGTCTCAGATTTGGAGGTGCTGATCCTCATCCCAGCCGCTTCACACTCGGTCTCGAACCTACCCAGCAAGAGCTGAAGTTCAGAGCTGGATGAAGCTAGGAGGACCACATCATCCGCAAAAAGCAGAGATGAGATTCTCCTGCCACCAAACTCGACACACTCCACACCACGGCTGTGCCTAGAAATTCTGTCCATAAAAGTTATGAACAGAACCGGTGACAAAGGGCAGCCCTGGTGGAGTCCAACCCTCACCGGGAACAGGTCCGACTTACTACCGGCTATGCGGACCAAACTCACGCTCCGCTGGTAAAGGGACTGAATGGCCCTTAACAAAATTCAATTCAATTCAATTCAAATTCAATTCAAAAATACTTTATTAATCCCAGAAGGAAATTGATGGGAAAAGGCCACCCACCCCATACTCCTGGAGCGTCCCCCACAGGGTGCCCCTGGGGACACGGTCATAAGCCTTCTCCTAATCCACAAAACATATGTGGATTGGTTGGGCAAACTCCCATGCCCCCTCCATCACCCTTGCAAGGCTATAGAGCTGGTCCACAGTTCCACGGCCAGGACGAAAACCACATTGCTCCTCCTCAATCTGAGATTCAACTATCGATCGGACTCTCCTCTCCAGTACCTTGGAGTAGACCTCTCTAGGAAGGCTGAGGAGTGTGATCCCCCTATAGTTGGAACACACCCTCCGGCCACCCTTCTTAAAGATGGGGACCACCAACCTGGTCTGCCACTCCACAGGAACTGCCCCCGATGACCACGAAATGTTGCAGAGACGTGTCAACCACGACAGCCCTACCACATCCATAGCCTTGCGATACCCAGGACGAATCTCATCCACCCCCAGGGTTCCGCCACTGTGTAGTTGTTTGACAACCTCAGCAACTTCTGCCCCAGAGATTGGACAGTCCATCCCCAGGTCTCCCGGCTCTGGTTCCTCCTCGGAATGTGCGTAGGTGGAATTGAGGAGCTCCTCAAAGTATTCTTTCCACCGCCCGACTATAGCCCCCAGTTGGCGTTAGCAGCTCCCCATCCCCACTGTAAACAGTGTGAGCGAGTAGCTACCTCCCTCTCCTGAAAACCGGACAGTTTGCCTTTGGCGCCGATCATAGTCTTTCTCTATGGCCTCACCAAACTTCTCCCACGCCCAAGATTTTGCCTCGGCAACTGCCACTACTGCACCCCGATTTGCTATCCGGTACCCATCTGCTGCCTCCGGAGACCCACAGACCAGTCACGCCCTGTAGGCCTCCTTCTTCAGCCTGAAAGGTCCCCGAAACTCTAGTGTCCTCCAGCGGGTACGGGGGTTGCCACCACGACTAGCACCAGCCACCTTGCGACCACAGCTAGCAACAGCCACCTCAAGTGGAACAAGGCCCACTCGGAGTCGATGTCCCCCACTGCTCTCGGGACGCGGTCAAAGCAAAGAGGTGGGAGATGAAGACCATCTTGACAGGTTCTTCTGCCAAGCAGACCCTCACTATGCGTTTGTGTCTGCCAGGTCTATGCGGCATCTTCCCCTGCCATCTGATCCAACTCACCACCAGGTGGTGATCAGTTGACAGCTCCGCTCTTCTCTTCACTCTGGTGTCCAAAACATACGGCCGCAGGTCAGATGATACGACTACAAAGTCTATCATCGACCTGCGACCTAGGCTGCCCTGGTACCAAGTGTACCAATGAGCATCCTTAAGTTCGAATATGGTGTTCGTTATGGCCAAACTGCGGCTTGCACAGAAGTCCAATAACGAAGCACCACTCGAGTTCAGATCAGGCGGGCCGTTCCTCCAAATCACATCCCTCCAGGTCATGCTGTCATTGCCCACGTGAGCATTGAAATCCCCCAGCAGGAAAATGGAGTCCCCTGATGGAGCACTATCTAATACTCGGCCCAGGGACTCCAAAAAGTGTGGGTACTCTGAACTGATATTTGGCCCATAAGCACAAACAACAGTCAGGACCCGTTCCCCGACCCAAAGGTGCAGGGAAGCTACCCTCTCGTCCCCCGGGGTAAACCCCAGCACACAGGCAGAGAGTCTTGGGGCTAACAAAAAGCTAACTCAAGCCCTCCGCCTCTCACCCAGAGCAACTCCAGCAAAGTAGTGTCCAACCCCTCTCAAGGGCTTGGGTTCCAGAGCCAATGCTATGTGTTGAGGTGAGTCCGACTATATCTAGCCGGTACCGCTCAACCTCTGCCACAAGCTCCTGCTCCTTCCCCGCCAGCGAGGTGACGTTCCATGTCCCAATAACCAGTTTCCTTGTCCGGGGATCGGACCGCCAAGGGTCCCGCCTCGGTCTGCCACCCGATCCACACTGGTGGAGGTGACTTGGGCCCGGTAAAGCCTCTCCAGCTGTGCGGCAGAAAACCTGTGCTGGATAGAGGGCAAACAGCAGGTCCACTCACCCCATTGTTACCGGTCGGGGCAAATGCTGACCGGAAGGCAGCAGAATCAACAGCAGTGAGCAGTTATGCTAACTTTTCAATAACGACAGATTATTTGTACTTATGTGTTATCAGCTAGGTGAAGAGCGTAAGTAAGAACTGAGAAATGCCGATGACACGCTCATTTGCTTTTACAGGTGTGATTAGATACGTCTTCAGTAAGGCCACACGGGGGCGCGATGTTCCATAGTACCTTCGTTGTACTGAGTGAATCAACTGAAAGGGAACAGGTCTTTGAAAGCATGAGTTCTTGATAATAGAGTAAACTTCTGAACAACATTTGATATAAATTTCCCCAAGAATTTAAATCTGAAAACATCCGACATCCTGTTTTTTCAACAGTAACAGGAAGTAGAAAGTACCTTTAAAACCTAAAGGCGTTCAGTTTTTTTTATTCACAAAACAAAACTGCTATCGATTAAAGCCAGTCATTGCAGAAATACCTTGATGATGTTCTGCAGGACTTTCTCGTTGATGACGGCTTTGTGGCAAGCTGTTTTTTGGTACATGTCCACCACCACCTCCAAGGAGCGCTCAGCAAAGGGCACATAGTTTAAGGCAACCCATTCTGCCTGCGGGGACAACAAGACGGTCTAGTCACACTCATTTATATACTTTACCTGCAGTTTGGCTGAGTCACACCGAAAGCATAATTTAAAAGCACACTTTAAGTATAAATAACAAAAATTCAAATATCAGTCTCAGTTTGCTGAAGGAATGTAAATTTATACGAGCAAAACAGCTGTTAGAGAAAAAAACTAAAGTGTGCCTTTAAGAAATCACAAGAACCACACTTGTGCGTACGTTCATCACCAAAAACCACAAACTGAAAATGGACTCCACAGTGACGACGCACAGAGGTGTAACCACCAGTTAGTGTGAGGCAGAGAGGAGGGGTGGGGGCATGAAGTGAGTGAGAAACGCAGATGAGACGCCAGCGTCTACCATGCGGACTGTTTTCTCATCAGCACAGCTTAGTACAACTAAACAAGGGCTGGAAGGAGATGATGAGACTCACCGGAGCAAACAGCTGGATCTAAAGCGGATATCCAGCGAGTGGTTCCAAGACACAGAATGAGAGAAAACAGCAATTAAACTGCTGCTGCAAAAGGTCGACTTCAGGGAGGGTTGCTGCTAAATTAACTCTAATCGATTCAGGTGGGGTTGTTTGGTAGTAAAAAGTAGTAAAGTCAATCCCACCACTGGGCCGCTTGACAGACTCTGACTACAGTGGTGGAGGAAAGACCACCCAAGCATCCATTTGGCTGGGATGGTCTTTGTTTGTACATCTCACTTCAACACTTTAAACAAAGTCAGATCAACAAAAACGTAAGTCTGTGCTTCACAAGCAGGACTGTGTGCTGCCAGAACCGTAGGCTTGCGTAGAAGGCTGCAGAAATATTTGATGGATTCAATAACGGACTGGATTGTCAAGGTTTCTTACAATTAAAAGCTTTCCCAATTACGCCGTTAGAACAGAAACAATGGTAACACATGCTATTGGCATGGTACCAACAAATTGATGCAGAGGGAATCTGAAGAGGAAAAAGGCCCAGGGCTTTTTTATGACAGACTAGAAAAAAATTGAACGTATTTAATGTCGGAGGCATCTGGTGGACGAGGCTGAAGATGAGACGGGCGATGCCTCTTTTATTGGAATCAGAGAAAAAGAACGATCTTTGTTGAGAACAGCTGAACAAACCAAATAACGGTGTATCACATATGAAGCCAACTATAAAAATAGATGCACAGCAGAGAGGGATGAGGCACCTGGTTGTATTTGGCGTTGGCTACGTGTTTGGTTTCCATCCTGCCATACTGAGGAGGTTTGCAGGAGAACTCTACGAAGAGCAGCAGCTGTTCGAAGATGGCCGGGTACATGACCTGCAGGTTCTCTGGGCCCACACAGATGGCCTGCAGCAGGGAAGCAAGGGAGGAACAAACACGGCTGTCATCCACATGAACGCACGTTGCATAATGCAGAAAACTGACACGCTTTCTGGAAATATCTTCAAAGCTGCAGAAATCTTTAACTCAAATATTAACTTTAAAAAGCTTGAGACTGAGGAGCTCAAGTCACTCTGCTGCATTTGATCACCACCAAGTCAACATGATTCCTCATCTGAGAAGATAGCATGTAAATAGACTTTCACATGTTGGAAGCCCTCTTAGTACTTCATTCATTTCCTGCTCTCACCTTCTGCAGAACATCCAGAGCAGTGAGAACAGCTTCCTGCAGACTAGTGAGCGTGGCCTCGGTGTAGGAGGGGAGGATGAAGGGTGAGGCGTCGCTGCTGATGGGCACAGACACTGCCCCGTGGAGGATGACCCCCAGCTTTTTTAGATCCTCCATACTAAAGTTGGCTTTGATGTGCTGGTAAAGGGCTGGGAAAATCTGGATCAGCGCTGTGAGGAAGGGCTGGCTTGGAATGAATGAGAGCTTTTCTGTTGGCCCACTAGGGGGCCGTGTGCTTTCCGTTCCTGTTCGGTACCACGTGTTCCACGCAGACCACCACAGAGTCGAGTCCTCCAGGGCGGACTCCTCGCCTGGCGGCGGTGCCTGCAACTCGGCTCCAATGTACCTCGTTAGTCTTTCCACCATTGAGTCTGAACGGACCAGGGGTCTGCCAGGACCAGAGGCTGAGAGGGGGTCAACGAGGACTGGGGGAACGCCCATGGTGGCGAGTGCATCCCCTGCCTTGTCTGAGTCTTTAACAGGAGTAACGATCTGCAGGATCTCTTGGAAACTCTTGAGAGCAGCCAGGGAGACCTCGTTGTTTTTACTAAGAGCTGCAGACTGAATGTGGTTCAGCAGAACCTCCCAGGCCTCAAAGAAATCCCCTGCAGAAACAAAGCAACATGGTGGACGAGTCTGTTAGCAGTTGGGGTAAACAGGAAGTAATGTTTCAATCATGTAGAGGTAAGTCACATTTCATTTCAGGAATGTCTTAAAAGCAAAAAACAGAAGGAAAAAAAGGGTCAAACTTAATATTTCGTTGGACCGCCTCTAGCTTTCATTACACATTCACTGTGGCGTTGTTTCAATAAGCTTTTGCAACGTCACAAGATTTATTTCCATCCAGTGTTGCATTAATGTTTCACCACGATCTTGCACTGATGATGGTAGAGTCTGACTGCTGCACAAAGCCTTCTCCGGCACATCCTAAAGATTCTCGATGGGGTTCAGGTCTAGACTCAGTGGTGGCCTCCCACCATAGCTCCAGACTCCAATCTATGCTCCCTAGCAAAATTAAGCCTTTTTTCTAGTTTGCCTCACCGATTAGTGGTTTTCTTTCGGCTACACGGCTGTTCAGCCCCAATCCCTCGAGTTCCCATCTCACTGTGTGGAAATGCTCCAGTTTTCACTGTTAAACGTAACCCTGAGCTCTAATGTAGATTTTCTTTGATTTAATTTCACAAAACATTTAAGTGTTCCAACAACAGGGATCACACTCCTGGGCCTCCCTGGTAAGGTCTATTCAGGGGTTCTGGAGAGGAGGGTCCATCAGATTATCGAACCTCAGATTCAGGAGGAACAATGTAGTTCTTGTCCTGTCCGTGGAACACTGGACCAGCTCTATACCCTTAGGGGGTCCTAGAAGGTGTGGGGGAGTTCGCCCAACCAATCTACATGTGTTTGCGGTACTTGGTGCAAAAAGAAAGATACAAATAAGAGATGAGTAAATATAGGATGTAAGAATATAATCTATATTGGATAAAATATTGATATAAAGTGGCAATACTTAGAGAAATGGCTACTTTATACAAGAAAGTGTAGGTACTAATCAGAGCGGATCAGTTCAGGTACAAACACAACACAGGGTAAGGTGACTGAAACAAGGCAACTGGAGTGGGCAGCTCTAGGATTGTTATTCAGAGTCCAACTGCAGAGGGGAGGAAGTTGTTGGATCTGAGCCTCCTGCCAGATGGGAGCGAGTCAAAGAGACTGTGTCCAGGATGAGACGGGTCAGCTGTTATCCGACCTGCACACCTCAACATCCAGGTCCTGTACAGAGGGGAGTTTGCGGCCAATGACCTTCTCAGCAGAGCACATAATATATATATATATATATATATATATATATATATATATATATATATATATATATATATATATATATATATATATATATATATATATATACATACATATATATATACACATTGTTGAACAATGTGTATTAGCTCTGAACGAGGCGCCTCTCGGTGGTGCCCTCTTGAGAAGAAACAGAATTTTTGGATGAATCACCTCCTATCCCGTCCCTCCTGAGGAGCGTTTGGGTCTTTTGTCCTGATATTAAATGTTTTGCTCTAAAGCATCACTTGATCACCAGAACAGGAAACATGCTAGTCGCGTTCTGTAATGTAAATATTGATTTGTGTGCTGTTGGGCTACGGTGATGGAGAATCCTTCATAAGGAACCTGTACAGAAACATTTAGGGAAGTAAACTGAGTGATACTAAACCAGCGATGTGTGTATGGACATGCTCCACCCCGTCGAAGCTGAGGACCACGTTGGTTTCGAGGTCTTACCTAACTGCTGGAGGAGATATCGCCTGGTGTTGAAAATGCGAGCCACCCCAGCTAACGTCAGCACCCACGTCTCTGCCCACTGCTTCTCAGCAGTGTCACGTGAGTGATGGATGAGGATGTTCCCACCACCTGACTCAATCTTCTCCTTGTCTGCTGTGGTGGACGCTGTCCTCACACAATCCAACAGCTGGAACAAAACCTACACAACAAAGAGAACTTAACCAGTGGCTGGAAATGAGAGGACTGAGGATAAACACTGGAGTTTAAAAGCAAGTCCTTGTTTGTTTTTATATTAGGTGGGTGAGCTAATCCAATGTACACCAAATGACAAGGACTAAATCCTGCTCGCTACCTTCCAGACCACAATGTGCCATGTCGGACGCTGCAGCAGGGTTCCATGGGCGGTGATGGTAGAGAACATCGTCTGTCCGGCACTTTTACGGACAGCCGGCCGTGGGTCGACACACAGCTCGCCCAGCTTGGCGTACAGGCACAGCCAGAGGCAGTCGAAGGGAGGGGCGGGGTGGAACGGCCTGTTTAGGGTCTCTCCTTTCTCCTGAGCCTGCTTCTGCAGGACTTCCTCCTCCCTCTCGAGCTCCTGGGTGATGGCCTCACCTCTTTGGAAAAAGTAGTCAGAAATATTCCACTGTGGATAGAAGAGAAAGGTAAAAACGTGAATAGAGACAACAACAAAAAAGAGCAACAAAATGCCTGTTGAGAGTACCGGACAAGTGACCTCACCAGTAAGCCGATAGACGTCAGGCTGATGTTGAGCTCCTGGTTCTGAAGGCCGAAGCTGCCGGCTACTTCCACTACAATCTGGAGGCACGTGCAAGGCATGGTGGGAAGGAAGTCCGTCACCACCAACTGCAGGCACTGGAAGGCTGTTCGGATCAACGATTCGCTGAAACAAACAACGTTCAAAAGCTTAAACATTTGCAGCTCGTTTCTTTGAATAACACACAACAGACTGAAGAGCTAACTATGAAAGCATTTCCTTAAATAGAAAGAGAAAGAAACTCCACAGTAGCTCTTACCCCTGGTCATTACGAATGGCTCCTATAACACCTAAGACCAGGGGCCAGCCGGGCCCCAGGCAGTCGTCCTGGCTCTGCAGGATCTGCAGGACACACTCCAGCTGTTTTTGTCGGATGTCGGCGTGAAGAACATTGGACAACTCCTTCAGGGGGTTCAGCAAGAGGAGCTGCAGCCGCTTGGGGACAAGAGGATATGGCAGGTTCATAAACTGGAATACACAAATATTCTAAAGAGAGATTCAAGAGGTTAAAACGAAGAGTCGGAGTACCCGGCCCGGAGGGTTACCGGGGTCCCACCCTGGAGCCAGGCCTGGGGTTGGGGCCCGTGAGCGAGCGCCTGGTGGCCGGGCTTTCGCCCATGGGGCCCGGCTGGGCCCAGCCCGAACCGGATACATGGGCTCGTCCAACTGTGGACCCACCACCCGCAGGAGGAACATGAAGGGTCCGGTGCAATGCGAATCGGGTGGCAGACCAAGGCGGGAGCCTTGGCGGTCCAATCCCCGGACAAGAAAACTAGTTTTTGGGACATGGAACGTCACCTCGCTGGCGGGGAAGGAGCCGGAGCTTGTGGCAGAGGTTGAGCGGTACCGGCTAGATATAGTCGGACTCACCTCGACACATTGCATTGGCTCTGGAACCCGAGACCTGGAGAGGGGTTGGACACTCTACTTTGCTGGAGTTGCTCCGGGTGAGAGGCGGAGGGCTGGGGTTGGCTTTTTGTTAGCCCCGAGACTCTCTGCCTGTATGTTGGGGTTTACCCCGGGGGATAAGAGGGTAGCTTCCATGCGCCTTCGGGTCGGGGAACGGGTCCTGACTGTTGTTTGTGCTTATGGGCCAAATATCAGTTCAGAGTACCCACCCTTTTTGGAGTCCCTGGGACGAGTGCTAGATAGTGCTCCATCAGGGGACTCCATTGTCCTGCTGGGGGACTTCAATGCTCACGTGGGAAATGACAGCTTGACCTGGAGGGGTGTGATTGGGAGGAACGGCCCACCTAATCTGAACTCGAGCGGTGTTTTGTTATTGGACTTCTGTGCAAGCCGCAGTTTGGCCATAACGAACACCATGTTCGAACATAAGGAGGCCCACCGGTACACTTGGTACCAGGGCAGCCTAGGTCACAGGTCGATGATAGATTTTGTAGTCGTATCATCTGACCTGCGGCCGTATGTTTTGGACACCCGAGTGAAGAGAGGGGCGGAGCTGTCAACTGATCACCACCTGGTGGTGAGTTGGATCAGATGGCAAGGGAACATGCCGCGTAGACCTGGCAGACCCAAACGCATAGTGAGGGTCCGCTGGGAACGCTTGGCAGAAGAACCTGTCAAGACGGTCTTCAACTCCCACCTCCGGCAGAGCTTTGACCACGTCCCAAGAGCAGTGGGGGACATTGAGTCCGAGTGGGCCTTGTTCCACTCTGCGATTGTCGAGGCGGCTGTTGCTAGCTGTGGTCGTAAGGTGGCCGGTGCCAGTCGTGGTGGCAACCCCCGTACCCGCTGGTGGACACCAGAGGTTCGGGGAGCCGTCAGGCTGAAGAAGGAGGCCTACAGGGCGTGGCTGGTCTGTGGGTCTCCGGAGGCAGCAGACAGGTACCGGATAGCCAAGCGGGGTGCAGCAGTGGCAGTTGCGGAGGCAAAATCTCGGGCGTGGGGGGAGTTTGGTGGGGCCATGGAGGGGGACTGTCGATCGGCTCCAAAGAGGTTCTGGCAAACTGTCCGGCGCCTCAGGAGAGGAAGGCAGCAACTCGCTCACACTGTTTACAGTGGGGATGGGGAGCTGCTGACGTCAACTGAGGCTATAGTCGGACGGTGGAGGGAATACTTTGAGGAGCTCCTCAGTCCCACCGGTGCACATTCCGAGGAGGAACCAGAGCTGGGAGGCCTGGGGATGGACTGTCCGATCTCGGGGGCAGAAGTTGCTGAGGTAGTCAAACAACTACACAGCGGCAGAGCCCCGGGGGCGGATGAGGTTCGTCCTGGGTATCTCAAGGCTATGGATGTTGTAGGGCTGTCATGGTTGACACGTCTCTACAACATTGCGTGGTCATCGGGGGCAGTTCCTAGGGAGTGGCAGACCGGGGTGGTGGTACCCATCTTTAAGAAGGGTGACCTGAGGGTGTGTTCCAACTATAGGGGGATCACACTCCTCAGCCTCCCTGGAAAGGTCTACTCCAAGGTACTGGAGAGGAGGGTCCGATCGATAGTTGAATCTCAGACTGAGGAGGAGCAATGTGGTTTTCGTCCTGGCCGTGGAACTGTGGACCAGCTCTATACCCTTGCAAGGGTGATGGAGGGGGCATGGGAGTTTGCCCAACCAATCCACATGTGTTTTGTGGATTTGGAGAAGGCTTATGACCGTGTCCCCAGGGGCACCCTGTGGGGGACGCTCCAGGAGTATGGGGTGGGTGGCTTTCTGTTAAGGGCCATTCAGTCCCTTTACCAGAGGAGCGTGAGTTTGGTCCGCATAGCCGGTAGTAAGTCGGACCTGTTCCCAGTGAGGGTTGGACTCCGCCAGGGCTGCCCTTTGTCACCGGTTCTGTTCATCACTTTTATGGACAGAATTTCTAGACGCAGCCGTGGTGTGGAGTGTGTCGAGTTTGGTGGCAGGAGAATCTCGTCTCTGCTTTTTGCAGATGATGTGGTCCTCCTAGCTTCATCCAGCTCCGACCTTCAGCTCTTGCTGGGTAGGTTCGCGACCGAGTGTGAAGCGGCTGGGATGAGGATCAGCACCTCCAAATCTGAGACCATGGTTCTCGACCGTGAAAGGGTGGCTTGCCAACTCCGGGTCGGGGGAGTGGTCCTACCTCAAGTGGAGGAGTTTAAGTATCTCGGGGTCTTGTTCACGAGTGAGGGTAGGAGGGATCGGGAGATCGACAGGCGGATTGGTTCGGCGTCTGCAGTGATGCGGACGCTGAGCCGATCTGTCGTGGGGAAGAGGGAGCTGAGCCAGAAAGCCAGGCTCTCGATTTACCGGTCGATCTACGTCCCAATCCTCACCTATGGTCATGAGCTTTGGGTAATGACCGAAAGAACGAGATCGCAGATAAAAGCGGCCGAAATGAGTTTCCTCCGTAGGGTGGCCGGGCTCAGCCTTAGAGATAGGGTGAGGAGCTCGGACATTCGGGAGGGACTCGGAGTAGAACCGCTGCTCCTCCGGATCGAAAGGAGCCAGTTGAGGTGGTTTGGGCATCTGGTCAGGATGCCTCCTGGACGCCTCCCCGGGGAGGTGTTTCGGGCATGTCCTGCCGGCAGAAGGCCCCCGGGGCGACCCAGGACACGTTGGAGAGGTTACATCTCCAATCTGGTCCGGGAACGCCTTGGGGTCCTGCCGGAGGAGCTGCTGGACAAGGCCGGGGAGAGGACGGCCTGGAGCTCCCTAGTTGGGATGCTGCCCCCGCGACCCGGACCCGGATAAGCGGAGGAAGACGACGACGACGACGACGAGATTCAAGATAGATCTTTGTCCAGAACCAAGAGGAAGAGAAGGAATGAGCGACACCTTACTAAACCCTACAGATTCAGAATGGGATGTGATTAGAGGTCATGTGAATGTAAAGGGACACGTCCAAATACTTTTGGTAATCTGGCATGGGCCTCTGTGAAAGAGGAGAGTTCCCAAATACCAGCATCACAAAACAAAATGTGTTTCTTTGTAAAACTCTCCAACAGACAAGGAGGTTAAGATCATTTCTACCTTTTCTTTCCCAGATCAGCTCCTGGTGGACGGACCTACCAGATTGAGGGCCAGTGGAGGGTCGTGTTTGTACGCGAGTCCAGCTTTAATGAGTGCCGTCAGCGCCTCAGCGCCCCACTCCCTCATTCTGGAGTTTGGGTGTTGGCAGACCTACAGAAGACACCAAGAAACCAGATTTAACGACTGCCCGAGTCCACTCGTGACCAACATGGTAGTCGTAGACGATACACATGGAAAGGCCAAGATAAGCAGAGAAAAGCACTTTAGTCTGATTCAAAAACACCAAAGCAACAGATTTAAAAAAGACTTTATAAAGAAAAGCAACACTGCTTCAGAACCCAGAGGATCCATGTGTATCATTTCTTATCCAATTAAAGCTAAACACTTTAATCACAGACTGTAAAAAAGGAAAAAGTGATGCAATAGACGTGTTTAAAATAAGAAAGTGTCCAATTACAAAAGTGCACAGACAGTTCATCAGGTGCAGCTTTAGATCCTGCTTCTGAGACAAATCAGAATGTCACATAAAAAAACGAGTACAATAATGAAATATTAAACACTGAAAGCTGAGCAAACACTCCACACATAGCAGTCTCAGCTGGTTCATGTCAGACTGAGAGGAGAAGAAAACAGACTGGAATGAGGAGGGTGAGCCAGTCGGTGCTCAGAGCATCTCTGCTTACCTTCTGCAAACAAACAGGTGTGCAAAAGAGAGAGGAGATAAAGAAAATGTGAAGAAAACCCTCAAAACACAATTACTCATTTATAAGAAGAGACTTTGATTTTTAAAGAAAATAACAAAAATGAGACGGACCCAAACACCTCCCTCCCATCAAGCTGTAGATTTACAAAACACTTGTCTCCAGGCTAGAGACTGATCTGAGGTCTGTTTATAGATCCTCTCTATAATCATAACTGATTATAAACAACCACATTTAAACCAGCAGTGTAACCATGTCAAATGGTTCATCAATAACATCTAAACACAGTTTTAATCATTTCTGACTGAATGTAGAACATTTTCCAATGTCCGATCCTGATGAAGAACATCACTGTCAAAGGCGTTCAACAAGGAGGTGAAGGAAATGTTAAATGTCACTTGGTGAGAGAAGACAGTTGGTGTGTGTTGGACACCATCAGAGAGAAAAACAGTAAAACCAGAACTATTAATCAACAAAAAAAAAAAAAAAAAAAACTAGATTTTATGGTAAATTAAATAAGACTGACATCTTGTGGTAAAATGTGGGTACTGCACTCCATGAATCAAAACAAACAAGTTCGTTCTGAGCAGCAGTTGCCAGTTACGGATCAGCACCAGAAGATTCTAGATGACAAGTCATAGTCAGTTGGGAAGTAGATAAATACATCTCATTGTAAAATAGTTATTGGTTATTGAAATAGTAGTTTGAGATATATTTTACAGCCGATAACTTTTTTAATTCATTGTTAGCATTGTTAGCTCAACATTAGCTTCTTCATTAAGTATTAGAATAAATCAAAAAAGATGCCGTGGCTTTATAGGGGAACAAGACATAACTCCTGGGTGGCTCCTTTTACTGGCTAACATAGTTTCCTCGACGATGATGCTTTACGATGGCTGGTGTCGAATTACAGAGGGAAGTACAGGTTTGGCAACCCTGGCGCTCGAACATGATTGGCTCTGGAACGAGGAAGTATGGAGGCGGGACAGATTGTAAACAAAGACTACGTCTCTCTTTGGCCTTTCCAAAAGGCAAAAAACTGGCTGGGAGCTGGGATGTTAGTTCTCACGGTGCGGGGGCTCGTTCTGACGCCCACATAGTAAAAAAATGCAAATGACTACTTTAGTCATCATTAGCAGTTAATGAGTTAAAGTTCCCACTGTACTAATATGTGTTTTGATATTAAATGTTTATTATCAATACAAATGATGTGCTTGGTAGTAAAACGTACCTCCAACAAGTGGCCCGTCAGTGGTCTCCACAGGATCTCAATGCGATCCATGTTGACCAAGCCCGTTTCCAATAACTTGGCGACTGCAAATAGAGACGGCTCCTAAATGATCAACAGCAAACACAAACTGCATGAAACGCCGGTTCCACTTTGTACTCAAGTGAAGAATTCCTAGGTTTGACAGTGACTTCAATTCAGAAATCAGAAAAGAGTGAAATACAGAAACTCTAGTTAACCTTGTTATTCCCAAAAGCCATTTCCATGGCCTCCAGTGAGAGAGAACACAGAGCATTGATCAGGTGGTGCAAGGACACGTCATCCAGGTACCTAAATGTTACAAGCAGTTGAAAAAATTAGTGAATTTAAGGCACATTTAACCTAAACAGTGTTGATTATCAGCAAACTAATCTGTACTGGGAGCTCTCAAACAGCCGGGACAGAACGTTGGAGATCACAGGCAGGTCGGTCATGACTGCTGTGGTCAGCACCTGTTGGAGTCAACGACACATGCACAGTCATTCCACCACCTTAAACATACGTGGACATAATAAAAAAACAAAACAACTCACGGTACTGGGCCCCTCCACTGCTCGGCCAGGCTTCAAGGCACCGCCAATCCCTGGTTTGAGTCCAAGAATCCAAACTAAATGCTGGAAGAGAAAAATTAGCAAGTCAGAAAGAGATCTGAAGTTATTCGCTAATAACCCAAAGAATTATGCTTCTTTAGAGCAGCACAAAAACGTTTAACACTTTGGGCTATTGCCTTCAAACTGGTTTCAGTGATCACATGGGACAGCACTCTGGTGCCCTCTGCTGACCAGAAACTGCACTGAATGGCTCTGTGGGTCAGATAGGAACACCAGGGGGAGGTCTCTACCAGCTAATGTAAAGGTTAGCGGTTAGCTTTTTCAGTTCACCAATTGTCAAAATGCCCAAGAAAATATATTTTTTGTTGGCATCAAGGTGGAGTCTGGAAGTAAAAGTATGAGAGCAATGTCTTTGGAGGAGAAGCCAAAAACCTAAACCAGAGTGAGCATAGGCGCAGCTTAAGCAAGTCTAACAGAGCTGAAGCAGGGTACAAAATCATGAACTGATGGTGACCTGGCTTTGTTGCTACTGAACTAGAAATCAATACAAATTTAGTCCAACAGTGTAGATCTTTTTAATTTGTAGCTCGTGTTAGCATTAGCTCACTGTTTGCGCTAGCCACAGCAGGCTGTGGCAGGGTTGTTTACAACAGCTGTAACAGTAGGAGAGAGGAGCAGGGAAACATATTATGTGTTGCTAGTATGTTTCTACATGAAAACATTAAACTAAAGTAATGCAACCACCAGCTCCAGCACAGCTGTATTTGTGTTAGGAGAAGGCTGTGTGGTGATGTATCTGGAGTACCTGGAGTGTGGCCAGGACCAGCTGCCAGGAGGTGCCCAGCACGGCGCCGTGGCAGTGGGCCAGATTCAGCAGCGTCCGCATGCACTGGATGTTTTTGGCGGTCAGCTGAAAAGGAGACAATTAGTTAATGCTTACCATATTTTCCAGACTATAAGCCGCTACTTTTTTCCCACGTGGCTTATAATGAGGTGCGGCTTTACTGAAGATTTTCCTTCACCTGCAGGGGGCGCTTTAGCAGAAAGTGAAACAGGTGGAAGTCAAAACTGGAAATGGAAGAAAGTGCTCATTTTAATTTAGCACATGCAAGCAGCCGGCACGACGAAGAATCTTTCTCAAATCCATACCCCCTCATCATGGGAACTACACGTTATGAGTTCATATGATGCCACATTTAAGTTGAAGGCCATCGATCTGGCAGTAAAGGAGGGAAACAGTGCTGCCGCACGTAAGCTTGGCATGAATGAATCCATGGTTCTGCGCTGGAGACGGCAGCGGGAAGAACTTATTCAAGCCAGCTTCACCCGGGGATGATGACAGCAACATGGACAGCGACACTGACATCGCCACAGAAAAGGTATGTGACGAAGCTCTTCTGAGGCTGTTCAATTCCGACACTGAAGAAGAGGACTTTAATGGCTTTAGTGCGCAAGAGGAAGATGAGAGCGAATGACTTTTTCTGGTAGGCAAGTGTGTTTAATTTACTAACCAGGCATGTTTTGTGTGCAGTTTTTATTTTCTAATCATCCAGGGCTTATTAATGCTGTGTCAGCGCTGTTCTTTTCTTCTAAACATGCAAATTACCGGTAATAACGTGTCAGTTCTGTTTTTATTTTATAACCATCCAGAAATATGAATGCTATCAGCGCTGTTTTCTTTTCTAAACTTGCAGGCACTTCACCCGTGTTTAAAATTTGTTTTGTTGAATTAAAACAACAACGAAAAACCTCAGTGTAGCGTCTTGCTATCTAATTATCTTATGTTATGGCCGTACATGCGCTGTGCGCCGGAGACCTGCATGTGGCTGCTGCGCCGCGGCTTGTATTTGAGTGCAGCGTGTGTGTGTAGAAATCCCCTTTTTTTTTGTTGGTGCAGCTTATATTGAGGTGCGCTCTATAGTCCGTAAATTACGGTAGTTTAATACATATTCAACACACTTCTTCAGAGCAAATTATACCAAGTCAATGGTAACATTTATTAAATTTACTTGTTTTCAAAATTGCAATGAAATGATGTGAGAAATGAGCTGTGAGTTAATATTCCTGTTGGGAAGGCCCTGGTTGCAGCATCATTATTCCATGGACACTGTGCAGGAATTCTGCCCTCAGGGGAAATTCACGAACAATGTTGATAACAGGGGTCTCTTTGTTAGTGATGCCTTCAGAGAGCAGGTCCTGTCTTTAATATTAGCTTTGTGTACTAACTGGAGCGTATAACCCTAACCCCTCTACCAGAGAGAATGTGTGATCACTGAGGTCGCTTATAATCACTTTAGAATAAACAAGCAGAAAAAAATAGACTTTCTATTAAAAATAAATTGTTATTTTCAATCACTTAAATGTTTATTTAATATTTTTAGCCATTTGTGAAAAATAAACAAAGCTCCAAATGAATTACAAACCTACAATCTATTTAATTTTGTTTAAATGTTGTTTAAACTACTTTTTTTCTATTTATTCTTTATTCACCGACTTATTCCTGGAGGCTGGCATAGCTGCTTATCAGCAAGTTTCGGTAGAAGGAAAGCAGAAGGTCTGAACAAAATAAATTTATGGAAAAAACACGAGTTAAAGACAAAGAGACACCAAATAAAACCATATCATCTTTGTTCAACAGGTTTCTGTGCCTGGTGAAGCTGCAGGTCTCTCTGAGTGGATTTTATGAAAGACCTCTGAAAAGGTGGAGGGGGAAGTTTTAAATGCATGCAAGGGACATTTAACGGTTTCTGACGAGCACCTGATGTAACTGGTAGTATGATACGATAAAAGCTTTGAAGGGTGAAATGTCCATAATTTAGAGATAATTATTCTTTTTCTTGGTTGGACTGAGGTTTGCTGTGCGACGGTAGAAAATGATGGAATCAGTTTGAGTGGATTTTGGAGGACAACAGGTGGAATTCTTTACTTAAACTTGTTCATGAATGGAATGAATGCATGGTGTGTGTGTGTGTGTGTGTGAGTCCATACCACCACGGTGCCCTGGGGCTGGGCGGTCAGAGGCTGCCCTACAGCCACCACCTGCTGGTGAGACTCGCTGGATGGGCTGATGATCTGCACACTCTGGCCCTGGATGGAGAAGGCTGGGGACAAGATAAACCTCAGTAAAACACACCAGCAGCTTGTTTTGTAACAAGCTTATCACAAGCAAATATAAAAACATTTCTAGTTAACTCCAAAGAAAACATCAGTTGTGAGCTGAAACCCAATCTCCCCGTTTGTCACTTGCAAGTAGTTAATCTGTGAGCTGCAGCTTCGTGTGTTCATGCTCTCCTGATGTCACTAATGAGAAACTATGGAAACATTTTACAGATTAATGCAATGAGAGCGGATTTTCTAAGCAAACACCACAAACCCCGGTCAGCAGAGGCCCTTTTCCTGGTTTAAAACTGGATTTTTGAAAGTTTGCATCGTCAAACACGCCGGATTTATGTACCTTTGCTGGACAGGTTGGTGGTGTTGTTGCTGAGAACGGTCAGGGCGTAGTGTGGCGGCAGAGAGGCCTTGCAGATGGCTGTGATGAAGGCATCCCGAGGCGTCACCAGGCCCAGCCGACCGCACAGCGAGGCCATGGTCAGCTCGGCTTTTAGGATGTTTTCTGTAGCCGTCTCGTCGGTGCTGAACACGCCCAACCGACGAGAGAAGGAGAGAAAACAGAAATGTGAACCGTTACCATCTAAAACTAGTCTGTATCTGTACTGATGCTTCTGAGGAAACTCCTTCATTATGAGGTTATTTCCAATAGGAAGCATTTCTGTGCAAAATAAATAAATAAATAAAGACAATGAGTTATTTTGACTACTGTTTTTTTTTCCATTTCAATAGAAAAATCGGAACTAATAAAATGAAATGCTTCAGCTGGATCACATTTATGATGCGACTTTTGTCAAGTTAAACCATATTGTTGCTGTGAATCTGACATGTTTGCTTTTTACCTGGCATCCAGCAGCAGAGACAAGGCAGCAAGGAGACCACACCAACTGGCGTTGACCATCTCTTCCCAGACCAAGTGGGACCCTGAAACAATAAATAAACCTGAACACACTGGGCTGCAGCGAGGCGGTGAGGTGATCACGTCTCAAATTGTGTGTTTCCGCTACAGGAGTTCCAGGAAATTTCTGGGAGGATGACATGTGAGATATGATGGCGCTGTCCTCTCAGCTCTTGTGTCTCCATACTAATTCAGCTCTTAGCTAAGCTGTCAGCGCATCACAGGTTTCAGTGAGTGATGTCACTGATCAGCATAATGCGTCCACGGACTTCAGTAACATAAAAGTTTTATTCTGTCCAAGTCCATTCAAGTCTATTCATGTAAAAAAGTGGCGTTCGATGACCAGAAGAAGCACTGTTTGTGTTTCTCTGTGACCACAGGGCGCTATGAATGATGCTGTGGGTTGGTGTTTCTAACACATTTGTCAGGTTGATGAATTTAGAAACGGGGACTTTAAAGCAGCGTAAACACCCCTAATTTTATTTTCCTTCTATTCTTCATCATCTGCAACTCCATGAATTTTGGAAAAGCAGGCTGTTGGGTGATGTCTAGGGATGTTCCGATCACATTTATTTGCTCCCAATCAGATTCCGAGTCATTGACACCGAGGCCCGATTCGATACTTCAGCAAAGCTATAACATAAGAAAAAAGGGAAAAAACGTCCACGCTTTTGTTACATTTTTAAACTATTATTTAGGTATTTTCTTTGTATGTATGCCACTTCCTTAGTTTACCTGTGTTAACTTTCTATGTGTTTATTAACGTATCTTTCACTGTGGCTGGCTCCGTGTTTCTGTTAGAAATGTTGCAGTGAACTGGGACTTAATGATTCAGGCAAGCCCTGAAGGAAAAGAAGCTAAAGCAGATCCAAAAGAGAAGGCAGCTTCATGCAGCCATCTTTTCCAGCATGTTAAATTCCCAGTAAACACATTTTATAAGCGGCCTTCGCTGTCCGGTTTACAGTACCACCAAAATACAGACATTTTAGCTCTTCTGTGAGGACACGTTAGCCTATCAGCTAACAGCTGCATGCTACGGTGTCTGAATCCTTGCCTGCTGTAAATTTTGTGAGATATTGGGGTTTTCTTCCAAGAATTAAAGGATATAAATGCAGATGCACTTGTGGAGATTAAAACTAAGCCATTGTTGTTCCGTTAGAAAATCTCTATCTCAGGATGAATTTTAAAAAGTCACATTTTTTGTTTTAAAAGGTTAAATTGTTCCCAATATTTTGAAAATCACGAGATCAGTCCTGATTTCCGATCATGTGATTGGGTCTGCCGATGTCATCTCCTGTCGAGTTACATCCAATCAGCACAAGCTAACCACAAGTCCTGCCCAGTGACTACGCCAGGCCTTTGTGATTAGCAACCCCAGCTCAGGCACTAAATTCTTAAATGGCCCCCGACTGTGGTGGTTTTGGGTCGTTTTGGTGAAATGGAGACGCACGCATACCGTGAAGGTCCGTTAATAGTTGAAATATGTTTATGTTTATGTATTTAGCAGACGCTTTTGTCCAAAGCGACTTACAAGTGATAAACGACATTTTGCCCTTGAGGCTAACAACAATAGTAACAACAACAAATTGACATCAGTCATGGAGAGGAGGGAACAAGGAGTGGACAGTAGAGAGGGGGGACGGGTGCAGGGAGGGTGCTAGTTAAGAAGATGCTCTCTGAAGAGCAGGGTCTTCAGGAGTTTCTTGAAATAGAGCTGAATGAGAGAATTACTCTTGAATATAAATGAATATTTCACTGACACTGATCAGAGACCTTCAGAAATGCATAGTTATTCAAAGCCCTCTATGCCGAAAATGCAAAAGTTCCACAAATGATCTAAATTTAGTAACATTTGACACGTGAAAGCCAATTTATCCTGAAGCAAATCTGTTGCTTTTTTTTTTAAACTATGGCTCAAGATGGTGGATGTGGCTCAGCCCTAGACATGTCTCCATCTCTACTCCACTCCGGACGCTTCATCTTAAATACGACGATCATGGCCGCAGACACTATGGCTTCAGTTACATCACCCTGTTGTAATTCAGGTTAACAGTAATATTCTTGCTTTACTAATGCTTTGATAAAATCCCAATTATTCAGCCCTTTTCTCTGATTTCATTTCCTCTCTCTCCACTACAGAACTGGCCTGTTGTCCAACATGATTTTCTGTCCCTGTGAAACGGGATCCCTGAGTGTTAGTTAAACGTTACCCTAGGGCTGGGCGATATCGCCTAAAATCAGTATCACGATATATTGAGGATTTCACCTCGATGACGATAAGTGGACGATAACTACAGGTATGCGCAGAAACAAAAGTTGTCCACTAGATGGGACTGTCACGTGTATCGTGTTGAGTCACATTTTTATGTGACTCAAGGTGGAACAGGTTCTTAAAGGGCCACGAACTCTGCCAACCTACACACATCTTTTCATTTTTTATCATCAGATTTATTGACATGGGGAATATGATCATGATAAGATTAGGGTTGTCACAGTAACCGGTGTAGCTTTAAACTCCGGTAAAAAAGTTGACAATAATAATAACCGTCTTGTTTTTTAAAAACTATATTATCTCGGTGGATTACTGTGGCTGCGGTGTAGGCGACCCTTACCAGCCACCGTATCATCTGCTGAAGTTGCCGGCGGAACATGCGCACTTTGTTGTTTACAACCAAAACTTTCTTGAAGCTAAAGCTGAAATAATGGCCAAAGGAGGAGACGGCAGCGCTCAGGACATTTATTATCCCTCAAAGAAGACAAAGTGGGAAGTACGGGCATTTTTTGGATATTTGAAGAAAGCCGAGGGACAGTTGATAGAAGATGGCTATCCTGTTTGCAGCACGTGCAGAAAAAGTGTCTGCGAAAGGCAGCAACGCTTCAAATCTCAAGACACATCTGCGTGACCATCATCCACAACTCTACAGTCAACGCAAGGCAAGCTAACGTTAGCGTTTTGGCTAAAATGCGTGATCCGAGGATTTGGGTTGAGGGAGAATGCAACGAGTCGCTATATAAAGCAGCCACAGCGCCGCTACCTGCATATAAACCGTGTCGCGGACACCCCCATGTTGAAATGACGCTATGCATTACGGGGCTCCCAGGGGCAGATAAGAGTTGGTCTCTCTCCGAGAATAATTAAGAATTTAACAATGATTACTGCCTGATGACATTTTCCCCACATCTGCAAAGCTCACTGGAAGGACACAAACCGAGGACAATATTTTCCTGATATAGGGTTTATTACTCAAGTAAGGGTAAAAAAGTATCTGATTAGAAGGCTACTTGAGTACTGAGTATCATCTGATCTAATATTTTTTAATGATGACATCAAACAGACAAAAAATAAGAAGTTATGGGCAATTGGTATTTTAAGGACTAAAGGGGAAAAATGTAAACAAATAAACAACATAATTACAAAATAACACATTTTAGGCAAAATTTAGACACAAACTGAGGACAATATTTCCTGACATACAAGGTTTATTTAATTGTAGGAAAATGTAACATGTTTAAAAAAAATACCGCGATAATACCGTAAACCTTGGTAATTTTGGTCACAATAACCGTGAGGTTAAATTTTCCCACCGTGACAACCCTAGATAAGATGCAGAAATTTCGATAACGATGAATTTTCGATTTATTGCCCAGCCCTACGTTAACCTTATTTATGCTGATTAAATAAAACATCCAATCTAAGAACACAGCTGCGATCATTTCTGTATTTGAGTTTTTATATCCTATGAAACTAGAAAGGCCACACAAGTGTAACAATGGCCACTGGGGGTCACAGAAGCACCATCACCCATAATCCTTGTGGGTAAACCGACTGTACACATAATCTCATTGACTGTGTCCCGTTGGATTTTTAACCTGACTTTCTTCCTGGGACGGTTCTCACCACGCTGTGGCTTCCACTCCAGGTCGGGGTGAGTCTCCCTGAACTCTGCGGCTGCCTCCTCCTCCACTGCCAGCTCTCTCTCGATCATGGAGGTGATGCCCCTCACCAGGTCGAGCAGGGCGCTGAAGGCCACAGACATGGCGTAGCCCTCTGGGATGGATGGGGGCTCGACTTTGTCCAGCATCTCTAAACTGACACGGCACATGAGAGAAAGCGACACTGTTAAGAGAGTTTTTACTACAGTTCCCATGATGCCACAGTGACTACCATCATAAACCTGATTAGTGTAAAAAACACCATTAGTGTCAGAGAGTAATGCCACCTATTCATGCCAGGCTAATGTGATAACGTATGTTCCTGTGAAAGGCCACAGAATGAGTGTGGCTCCATTCTTCTGCTGTACTTCAGGTGATTCCCTACAGCTGCTTGTACAATATATTTATAACAATAATAATACATGTGTGAAATATGTTCACACCACTTAGCAGGAATCTGAAGACTTATAAATGTTAGGCATTTGTGAACAAGTGAAAGAAAAGGTAGTGAGTCTTACTACGTAGCCTTGGCGCTGCCCTGGACGCTGATGGTCATGAGGGGGATCCAGGTACCCCGATACTCAAACGCAGCCTGGGTGGTCATGGTGTTGCTGACCCCTCCTGCTCCCGGACCGCCCTGAGCAGCGGCCTGAGCCCCCGAACCTGACCCACCTGCAGAGGTCAAAGGTTAATTTTCTCTTATCAAGTGATCCTGATTAACACGGTGGTTTCACTCTGGTCAACAGATATTCAGTTCCCTATATGTAACCAGTAGTGTGTCAAAAAGGACACAGGAGTTTTATATTAGCAGGTGTTTATCAAAAACATTCCAGTCATTTTGTAAAATTACATTTCTGCTTTAACTTTTCTAATGAGGCACGTTTAGGTGATAAAATGAACTTTTAGGTAAAAAAGGGTAAATTAGAAAACAGAATTCAAAAGATCCGAAAATCGGACAGAAGCGAAACTTAAGTTTTATAAACTAAACCTTAAGATTCACATGGATACGTGTCCGAGTACTTAACCTTCTGGTGATAATTACATTTGTTATTCAGGGGCAGTATATGACTAGTTGGAATATTAAACCTAATAACTAACCAGCTGGTGCAGTGATGGCGGCAGCGATGCTAGCATTAGGGACGATGAAGAGGGACTGGATGAAGGATCCCAGAGCGTTAACGATGTCCCTGAACACCTTGGTGGAGTGCTGCTTCATGTCGTAAGACTGACAGAAGGAACTGAAGGAGGAGGAACAGCCAATTTTAGACACGAGATCACAGAAAGGAGGTTGTTGATGTTTCTGCTTGACTTGTGTCTGTAGTGAGAACATAAACGGAGGCTGAAAGGTGAGTTGTTCACAGAATGTTTGTGTTGTTTACCAGAGTAAATGAGGCTGCACACACAGCCTGTGGACCGACTCCACGGCCACTGCTCTGAGCCACTGGGGCTTCTCCCCATCAAGAAACTTCACCAGCAACGACAAGAAGATCTCACACTCCGTCACCTGCCGAACGGTGACACAGCAGATGCGTCAGAGCGGCAAAAACACCTGAGCAGGTGAAGAACATCAGACTACATAGCTCAGAGGACCAAACTCATGAATTCATTTTCGCCGGAAGAATCCCAATAAAACTATAGATTCATCAAAGTATCTGTTGCAGAACCAAACAGGACGATCTGTCAGTGTCACACTAGCACATAAAACTCTCACCAGTAAACGGTAGAAGTGCTTGATGAGGACTGAAACCACTCGCAGCAACCTCATACAAATAGGAAAGTATGGTTTCTCCACAGGAGCGGGCGTGGCGGCGCCGCATGCGCCTTGTCGGAACTTGATGTTGGGTGAGAAGAGCTTGATGACCAGAGGACAGACTCGTTCCTTCAGCAGGAAACTGAACTCCTGGTGCTGAGCAGGAAATGGAGAGAATCCAAGGTCACATGACTGACATCCACAACATCCTTTACATTGACTGAAACAGATGAGAAAACCGAGCACCTGCAGAAACACGCCAGGGAAATCGTTGAGAACAGACTCGAGCAGCTCCAGGCCGAAGGTCCGGGTCATTTCGGTCATCCCCACCAGCCAGTAGGGGGCGTCAGCATTGACTAACTGGCACAAGTCCTGCAGGAAAAGGCCAACATTCAGCACAAAGGGGGTTCTGTGTCCCATAAACATCACAGCAGTAGAGACGGAGACTTCGCTCCGCTGGGAGGACAAAGACCCAGTAGTAATGGACAACAAGAGGGGACTCGGAGACAACCGTTCACTGTATCGCTCCTTGTGATATTACAAACTTTAAAACTCAGTCATAGGAGAGGGACAATATTTTATATTTTATCCCCTTGTGGGATACAAAGGAGGAGGTGAAGCTGTGTGGTGGGCTGCTGCCCCCTGGTGGACGTACCTGAAACAGCATGTATGCATCTTTGGCGCTGGGTCTCAGAGTACTAACCGACCGCCGGTTGGTATTTCCTTGGACGGGAGGGGGCTGCTCCACAATGCCTTGGAGAGAAACAGAACACGTTACAATGGCAATAAAGGAACACTGACGACACATCAAGCTGCTTTTCAATTCTGTTTCATTTTTATTAGGAATTTAGATTTCTTTCTAAATCATCTAAAATGAAGTTTCCTTTTTCATTGTAGAGATTCCTCGTTTAAATATTCAAACAGCATCATTGTCATCTGACCTTTGAACCGCTCATCCTCTGCCACCATCCTCTCAAACACCACAGTAACAACCTGCCTGACGGTGGCGGCTGCCGTGTTGTTTGTGATGTTGTCCTTGGTAAAGTGGAGACGGAAACACAACACGATGGCCTGGGCAACGACAGTTATCAAACCGTAGTTTAGGCCATTAACTGATGTAATAATGAATTTAACGCAAAGATGGAGATAAAAAAGGAGAAAGCAAAAATCCCTGAGGTAAACAGTAAATAAACACAGATAAACACAGTAGCATGTCTGTACTCATAAGACCGTGTCATCCCTGTACCTTAGAGAGAACTTCATCATGAACCACCGTGTTGGTGGTTAGTAGAACCAGAACTGTCTGTAGAAGCTTCAGCTCCTCCAAACCGATTTCCATCAGCTGCCACAACATGTTGATGATGTTTCCCGCCGCTGCCTGTTCAGTAGAAAAAGAGAGAGAACATTAAAGAGAGAAGGAACGTACGTGTTGCTCCTTAGGTGTGGGACGAGAAGCCCGATGCAGACATCAAGAGACAAAACAAATTTTTTACTGGGTCAACGTGTCAAAAACAGGAATTTTATAACACTTGGAACAATTTTGTGTAAAAGAATTGAGTCACAGAACCAAACATCAAAGAAACTCTCCCCAAAATGTTTATTCACTGGAAAACGCAGCAGACAGGCGCTGCCTAACTTCACAGAGTACATTCATGTTTAAGCAGCTGGCAAATGCTTTTATCCAAAGTAACTTACTAAGGATGAAACAAAGTAGCTGATATCAAACGCAACAATAAGCAAGCTAACAGGAAGAACACTGGCCAGGGTCTGTCAGGGAAGACTGTGTGGAAACCATAGCAGGAAGTGCATAAAAGGGGTGCAGAAGAGGAGGAAGGGATGTTCTTCGTAGGAGAGGCTTTCTCAAGAGGTGGGTTCTCAAAAGTTTCCTAAAAATAGGTTCATGCATAGCGCTCTAGGTTCATTCCACCATCGTGGAACAACACAGAACAAGGATTGCACTTAGCGTGGTGTCGGCTCGGCTAACGGACTGAATCCAGTTTACCTCCAAAAGGATGTAGGCAGAAGCAACGCTTGTGGTGTTCGCCCACCCTTCCAGCTTAGATTATCACCATAACACCAAGACACACGGGTTCAACATTAGACAATAAACGTGCATTTTTCTCCAGGCTAGTACAACACCATCCAAGACTTATTATATGTGTTTCTCCAAACCTCAATTCAAAATGTCATTCATGGAAATAAGTATGATAAATATATGGTGGTTAGTGAATTTTGAGAAAGGAATTAGGAGACTTTATACATAATTGAAATAGTTTTGACAGTTTAAATGTTACATTGTTTATGTGATACAACAAATTTCATTTCTGTTACAATTTCAATTGCAACATCATTTACTGTTAAATTTCTACTTAGATTTCTGGGCTTATCACCAAATATGATATACAGTGGGGCAAAAAAGTATTTAGTCAGCCACTGATTGTGCAAGTTCTCCCACTTAAAATGATGACAGAGGTCAGTAATTTACACTTCAACTGTGAGAGACAGAATGTGAAAAAAAATCCATGAATTCACATGGCACGATTTTTAAAGAATTTATTTGTAAATCAGGGTGGAAAATAAGTATTTGGTCACTTCAAACAAGGAAAATCTCTGGCTCTCACAGACCTGTAACGTCTTCTTTAAGAAGCTTTTCTGTCCTCCACTCGTTACCTGTATTAATGGCACCTGTTTGAACTCATTATCTGTATAAAAGACACCTGTCCACAGCCTCAAACAGTCAGACTCCAAACTCCACTATGGGCAAGACCAAAGAGCTTTCGAAGGACACCAAGAAAAGAATTGTAGACCTGCACCAGACTGGGAAGAGTGAATCTACAATAGGCAAGCAGCTTGGTGTGAAAAAATCAACTGTGGGAGCAATTATCAGAAAATGGAAGACATACAAGACCACTGATAATCTCCCTCGATCTGGGGCTCCACGCAAGATCTCATCCCGTGGGGTCAAAATGATCATGAGAACAGTGAGCAAGAATCCCAGAACCACACGGGGGGACCTGGTGAATGACCTGCAGAGAGCTGGGACCACAGTAACAAAGGTCACCATCAGTAACACACTACAACGGCAGGGAATCAAATCCTGCAGTGCCAGACGTGTTCCGCTGCCTAAGCCAGTGCATGTCCAGGCCCGTCTGAAGTTTGCCAGAGAGCACATGGATGATACAGCAGAGGATTGGGAGAATGTCATGTGGTCAGATGAAACTAGAGCTGAAACGATTCCTCGAGTACCTCGAATAATTCGAGTACAAAAAATCCTCGAGTCAAATTCTCTGCCTCGAGGATTCGTTTAATTCATATTTAATTAATTCATGGCTTTGCAAACGCACGGGGTCAGGTTTCACCCGGACCGAAATAAGTGACGCACATGCCCACTGGACTGAATGCACATGCGAGTAGCGAATGTAACTTAACTTTCTCTTAAGCCATGGCGGACAACTTGTACCCCGGTGGAGTGAGAAAAAGACAGAAAATGTCAAAGGTGTGGGACCATTTTTCACGTCGTAAGGCGGAAAACGTAGTCCAGTATAAATACAGTAAAATGGATTAAGCCTACCACAACACCACATCCTCCGTGCTGCAGCACCTGTAAATGTCACTTCTGCAAGGGAACTCGGAGCCTCTACAAGATAATGCTTTTTAGCCTGTTTTTCTATATATTCTGCGGACACTGTGCGACTTTTTCGTTTGTAGCGCTCAGTTTCAGCTCACACCGTACATCTGGTAGCAACACGTCGGACTTAAAATGTGCTAAAAATAGCAGTTTTTACACAACACGTCGGACTTTTTATTGTGTTGTTATTGACGTCTGTTGTCCCTCGGGGTTTCTGCAGGAGGACACGGGTATTTATGAGTGGCGGAGGAAAACGAAAGAAAGTAAATAAATGTTTTGTGATCAGTATAATTTGACAAAACCACAGCAAACATGCTTTCTCGACAATCCTTGTTAGTGTGAGAAAAAAAAGTGTGGAAATTAAAACGGACGTGTGTTAATAGGGAAACAACCGGCGAGCTGTTTGCGCCGTGAGCGGTTCTGGTTCTGTTTGGGCCGCAGCCGCTCGTAGCGTTATCCTCCTAGTTTTTGTCTGGTTTGCAGGCTAGCAGATTCTCACACGAGGAGAGAATCGGCTCAGGTTGTTTACTTATTTTTTGCACAGGCATTTGTTTACTGTGAAGTAAAGTTGAAGTGCTGAAGTTATGCAAACTAATTTTGAATAAAACTTGAAGAATAACTGGCAATTGCTTTCTCATTTCAAGAGGTCTTTCATAATTATAACATGCTATTTGATATCAAATCAAATCACTTTTATTGTCACGTCACATGTGCAGGTACACTGGTACAGTACATGCGAGTGAAATTCTTGTGTGCGAGCTTCACAGCAACAGAGTTGTGCAAAAATACAGTAATGTAAAAACAATTAAAATATAAAAATGGCTAATCTAAGTATACAAATGAATAAAGTAAACAATAAGATAAGAGATATAAAATGTACAGAGGTTGGTATGTGCAAAACAGTGGCATTAATGTACAGTATGGAGCGTGTAATGTTGGAACTTGGTGGAGCTCGCGACGAGGCAGCCATACTCGGCGCCATCTTGGCTCATCAATATATGATATAATGGTTTACAAACACAAAAGAGTAATTTATTAGAGTACTCGATTAATCAAAAAAAAGATTCGATAGAGTACTCGATTACAAAAATATTCGATAGCTGCAGCCCTAGATGAAACCAAAGTAGAACTTTTTGGTATAAACTCAACTCGTCGTGTTTGGAGGAAGAAGAATACTGAGTTGCATCCCAAGAACACCATACCTACTGTGAAGCATGGGGGTGGGAGCATCATGCTTTGGGGCTGTTTTTCTGCTAAGGGGACAGGACGACTGATTCATGTTAAGGACAGGATGAATGGGGCCATGTATCGTGAGATTCTGAGCCAAAACCTCCTTCCATCAGTGAGAGCTTTGAAGATGAAACGTGGCTGGGTCTTCCAACACGACAATTATCCCAAACACACCGCCCGGGCAACAAAGGAGTGGCTCCGTAAGAAGCATTTGAAAGCCCTGGAGTGGCCATCCAGTCTCCAGACCTCAACCCCATAGAAAATCTGTGAAAGTCTGTGTTGCTCGGCGACAGCCCCAAAACATCACTGCTCTCGAGAAGGTCTGCATGGAGGAATGGCCCAAAATACCAGCTACTGTGTGTGCAAACCTGGTAAAGACCTATAGTAATCGTTTGACCTCTGTTATTGCCAACAAAGGTTATGTTACAAAGTATTGAGTTGAATTTTTGTTATTCACCAAATACTTATTTTCCACCCTGATTTACAAATAAATTCTTTAAAAATCCTGCCATGTGAATTCATGGATTTTATTTCACATTCTGTCTCTCACAGTTGAAGTGTATCTATAATGTAAATTACTGACCTCTGTCATCATTTTAAGTGGGAGAACTTGCACAATCGGTGGCTGACTACTTTTTTGCCCCATTGTACATAAATTTTCAGATGAAGCCATACTTTGTTGAATCAAATCGTTTAAATGGAACTGAGCATTTGGGCTATCGCCAGTGTGGATGTGGACAGCTAAGGGTAGCCAGTGGAGCGCAACAGAGAGAGGACCTGTGCTCTTTAAGGCTGATTGAAGGCCAGACATGCTGCTGCATTCTGGATCATCTGCAGAGGTTTCACAGCTCAGACTGGGAGATCATTTAGGAGGAGCAGTATTTAAGGCAGGATGTGACTGAAGTTTTAGTTATCGGTCCTGAGGCCCAGAGAGAAACTGTCTCTTAATCCATCTTCACAAATGAAGAACCTGGGTGCCATCTTTGACTCTGAGCTGACTTTTATCCATCATATTAAAAATATCACCAAAATAGGTTTTTATCATCTAAAGAACATCGCCAGAGTCCGCCCCATTCTCTCTCGGGCCAATACGGAGATGCTGATGCACGCTTTTATCACCAGTAGAATAGACTACTGCAATGCCCTGCTTTCTGGCCTTTCTAAAAAGAGGATTTCAGGTCTACAACTGTTACAAAACAGTCAGCAGCACGTGTCCTGACGAAGAGCAGGAGGCGGGAGCACATCACTCCAGTTTAAGAATCACTGCATTGGCTCCCCGTATGTTTCAGGATCAATTTCAAAATACTTTTAACAGTTTTTAAGTGTCTTAATTGTCTTGAACCTTCTTATCTTTCAGAAATGCTTTTACCGTATGAACCCACGCAGTCTCTGCGCTCCTCTGGCAGCCGTCTCGTCATCCCTAAAGTCAGGCGTCCTTCCAGTGTTATGGCCCTCGCCTCTGGAACGAGCTGCCAGAGGACCTCAGGGCCGTAGAGAACGTTCATGTTTTTAAGTCAAGA